CCTCGGCCTCCTGGGCGGCTGGGGCAGGTCTCTGATCGCCGCTGCTGTCGGGTTCCCGGTTCAAAGCCAGCCTGGGCGGGCAGGCCTCGGCGCGCGGCTGCAGAGCGCATGCGCGGCTCGGCTACGTGTGGCCCAGGCGAAAGCAGGGGGCGTGGCCGGAACGCCGCCGCCGCCGCCGCGGCCGCCGCCGAGGACGAGCCGCCGTTCCGGGAGGCGCCCGACACGCCGAAGCTGGAGAGGCTGGAGCCCACGACGTTGCAGCTGCCGGAGGACGAGGACGAGGAGCGTTTCCAAGGATGGAAACCTTTCCCGAAGGAAGAAGAGCTGTCCGAGAGGGAGGAGGGAGACGGGCTGGGGCTGCCGATCTTGTTACAGGTAGCCGCAAGCATGGCCAGAGGAGTGGATCCCAACCTCGGTTCTTCCTGCGACAAGGAGGAAGGGAGACGGGTGGGGGAGGGGAGGTGGGCAAAGGGCCGGAGGGGGAGGGAGGGAGGGAAGAAACGCGCGTTAGTCCTCCGATCGCCTCCCAGACGCCCCCACTGCACCCCGTCTCTCGTTGCGGCGCGCCCGCCACCAACTCACCTGACACCCCCAACAGCCCCGGCGCCCGGCTGCTTGCTACTCTACAGGAAGGGACAAGTTGGGCGGCCGGCGTCTGATTCGGGAGCCAAGCGCCACGCTAAGGAAGAGTTTGACAAGTAATCTCACCTAAAACAACACTCGTGCGCACACAAGGCCCCAGACACTTTGAAACAAACCAGCAAAAACTCCAGATCGGGAAGGAAGTTTCCTTGGCCGAGAAACCTGGGGAAACCATTGGATTGCTTTTAAGAAGGCTTCTCCGGTAATCCGGAGAGAGCTTTGAAAATCCTGCCCCGCTGCGCGCGCCCCCCTCCCCCGAAAAAGAAAAAAAAACATTCTGGGTTGTTTCTTCAAGGCCAAAAGGGGTCAAACTGCGAGGTTTCACTCGCCACTCCTTTCCTTGATATTTTATTTTCTGTCTGTCTTTTCTCTTTTTTTGGAAGTACATCTACAATAATAGAAACAAAACGAGTTCAACATACCTGCGACACAAGACGGACTGCGGGATTTTTTTTTTAAGGGGAAGGGAAGAATCTGCAGTTTGCCCAAGAAGAAAAACTTGCTCTCTTTACCACGGCCACCACCACCACCACCCACCACCACCCCCTCCCCAAATCGTCGCCTATAAAATGGGCTGGGCTCAGGTCCCCAGGGCAGGGAGCGGCCAGGCGCTGCGAGGTGGCTGGTCTAAATGCCCTTCGAACCTTTCACAGTGCTGAAAAACGTGACTCGGCCCCCCTCTCCCCCTCTTTCTTTTCTCCAAACTCACTTGTATTTAAAAGAGGTGGGGGGGGGGACGGACGCTCTCAATGGAGAGACTGATAGCCCGTGGCCTGGCCGGGGCGACTTTAACCCCCTCCGATCAGCAATAAAAGGAAACTAATTAAACCAGCAAGAGAAAAATCCTGAGACTCACCCCTAGAAGTGAAGTTGCCATCACACAAAAGTGCCCTCCTCCTCTCAGAGGATCTTTTTTATATTGATAAATCAGAGGCTGTGTTTTTTTTAGAGGTGTGCAATACAATGATCAGTTCCGCCCATTCCACCACAATTGTAGCTCCCTCTCTGGCTTTGAAGTGCCGCGGAGGCGCGGCCAGCCAATCTGCGTCCTCGCCGGGCCGCGCCGCGCGCGCGCCGTGAGGTCATCGGCGCCGTCGCCGGCCGCTGGGGCCGCGGGGAGGGAGGAGAGGAGGGGAGGGGGCCGGGGGTGACTGCGTGTGTTACCGAGTGTGTGTGCAACAGTGTAACTGTGCAAGTGTGACCAAACCTCGGAGATCACAGGCGGAAATGAGGAGGGGTGGGAAAGGGAGAGGTAGCGTCGAAAGCGGGAAGGTGTTGGTGTGACCGTGGAAATGCGTGTGCGACCAAACAGGGGACGAGGGAGCAGAGCAGTAAAAATGCAGCAGGAAGGGTGTGAGTGAACCAGGACGTAACTGAGTCGGGCACATCTCGGGAGGCAATAGGGAAACTGGGGAAAAGTGGGAATGAGGAGAGGTGGGGGTATGTGCGAATGCCTCTGTGTAGTGTGTGTGTGTGTGTGTGTGTGTGTGTGCGCGCGCGCGCGCGCGCGCGCGTGCGTGTCTGTCCGGGTGTGCTCGCGCCTCCAGGCTGGGGGTGGGGAGTAGGAACGACACGGTGTACGTGCGAGAGACCGAGAGGCGACCTGATGAGTGAAACTGACTGCGAAGTTGAGAAAGGCTGAGTAATAAACATTCTCCTATGCCACTACTGTCACCAACTTGCCCCGGCTCCTCGTACCCCAAATCGGCAGATTTCCTTTTCCCTTAACTTCATGGACTCTGCCGCTACATTTTCGTTAAAGAAATCTTAACACCTACCTTTGCTTTCCTGTCTCTCCAATCAAATAAAAAGATCGCAAGTGTGAGGGGCATTTTTAGGGACGCGCTTTTTTGTTTGTGTGCGCGCTTGTGCCCCAGCGTTATTACTTTGATGTGGTAACCTTTTTACTTTTTTTTCTGAGATGGGATTCTGCTTCGGAAGTGTAGGGTCTTACTCTGGGAGAGGAGGTGTGTTCGTCCCGTGGGGTTGAGCAAATTTCACTGCACAGGATTAAGTTCGAAAAGGTTGGGTTCCCCTCCCCCCCCTTTGGATGAGACATTAAGGAGCGTTTTGTGTTGTTGTTGTTTTACACGTCAGAAGTTTTTACAAGCAACCACCGAGCCTCTTTCTGGGGCAGGGAGAGGGGGTGGGGGGGTCAGATTTTGACCGAAAGCTGGGTGTTCTAGTCGTGGAAGAATAGAGATGAGCTTTTGACAAATCTTAGACTACATTTATAGAGGGTCCAGCAAAGATGTAAGAGTAGGTTTGTGCTAATGTCTACACTGAGTTCCGACTTGGTGGATTTTAATCACTTGCCTAACATTTGTGTTGCTAGTTGCCTTGAGAAATACCATGACAAGTGCACCACTAGGGAACTTCTTCAACCACAAAACACACAACACCAGTGTGGGTGGGGGACGCGAGTCCTTAGAGCTATCCAATATATTAAAAAAATCATATATCCAAGTCCAATTTTAAGGTGCAGTGATTAGAATGCAACTAGCTGTTTGTTTTGACCAGGGAGGCATTCTTATTTTATTATTATTGTCCTGGATGTGTCAAGACTCCTGCAGATGGGGGGGGGGGAGAGTCCTTCTGGCTTTTACTGAATAAACTCCAAAGTCAGGTTTCATCGTGCGTGTAAATTTCACTTTGACTTTGATGTTTGTGGTGTGAGTTTCTATTTCTGACCCTTTTGAACATGTGGGGATATTGACTGTACATCATATCTATTGATTAAGGGGGTAAGGTACACTCTCATACTTTGAAGTAAGTGTGAAGTAAATTAATGAACTGCTTTCTTTCTCTGAAGGCTGACGCTTACCATAAATGTCGTGTTTCTCCCAGCATGCTGCTCTGAATGACTTTAGCGTGTTGAGAAGGCGTGACAGGCCAGCCCAGAAGGAGGAAGGGGTGGGGGAAGGAGGGAACTACGTTTAACAAATAAAAGAGAATTAACTTCATTGCTTTGGTCTCCTTCTATAATGATATGCATTTTAAGGACCTAATATACAGTTGTTGAAATTTGGGGTTTAATTGTAATCAATACCATCACCCTCAAAGGTGGAGGGGAAAAAAAGCTTTTGAAGGAAGACTCCTTTCTATGAATGGTTTATCTTTTTATCCTACTATCTTCTGGAAGGAGAGGCAGCACTATTAAAAAGTTAAATGCTGATTCTGAGAGTAAACAGGGGTGTTAACCAGTGTTTCCACAAAAATGTCAGGAATTTTAAAAAAGCAACATCATGTGACTGCAATTTTGAGCTACCTAATTCTAAGATCCCCCCCCCCCCAATTTGGATCATCACTTTAGAATAATAAGTCATTCTTCTGATGACAATGAGTCACAATGTTGGTTTGTATTCTATGAAAATACTAGTTTTTTTTCAATTTGCATAAGGTTGGCTTGCAGCATTTAGGGACTTTGAAGGGTTTATAAGTTCAACTCTTCATTAGTATCATTAATGTATTGTGTTTGTGTGTGTGTGTATGTGTGTGTACACACATTCTATTTACTCCCATTACAAAGTCAAGGTGTCTGTTTCATAGCAGTACTGGCCAAAAGATCTTTTCCCCCTGTATGATTCTGTCTGTGTGTCCACCACCACCACCATGCCCCCCCTCCCCCCCACCAAGTAGTAAATGTTTTCATCATAGAGTCAAAAAGGAATCATATAATTAATCCAAGATGAAAACAGTCACAATCTTGCTTCTCTAGCTGAAATGAACTGTCTTCATCCACTTTGGGGAAGTAACCCCATCTTGTAGGAGTCTTGTCCCACGGGAGGGAACAACTGTAGCCCCTGGTAGCTATAGCCAACAATTCAGGGTGGACTTCAGGTTACCTTTTATGATATTGATCATTGTTCTGTAGTAAAATATTGTGTTATATAGATGTTTGGAAAGGGAGGAAAAGAAAGATAGGAAGTGGAAAGTGCAGGCTGCCTAACATTAATTAAAAGTTTCCCCCACCCCATAGGAAGTTTACTGTGCCATCTGAAAGAGGGGTAGGTGTATATTCTGCTGTTTCTTGCAAACCTGTGTGATCCACTATCAATAAAGCTAAAAATCTATTAGCATTCTGTATGCATCCGCAGCATAAATTTCATTTGAATTTCAAATTTAATAAAGCAGGAGGTTTTTAATCATCCCTGGTTTTATTTGTTTGATATTAACATGCTTATTGACCGGGTCTGGTGACCAGTTTGATCATTACAGGACAGCAAAAAGTTAATTAAAACGACCACAGCCCCTTAATCATATCATCTGTCTCATCCATGTCGCTCTCTTTATTACCGGTGATGATGGATAGTCTCCCAGATTAATTTCTCTGTTTCTTCGATTTGGACAACAGCTTTTGGGACCTAATTTACATCCTGGGAACAACTTGCTCAAGTATTTCTAACACCTTGCAGCTACAATATACATCATCTCCTTAGGTGGGTCAGAGAAAGCGAGTCTTTTTGCAGGAGGGTTTGAAGACTAATCAATGTTCAGATCTGGAGCTCTTAGGCTTTCACAACCAAGCAAGCAAAGGGTTCTAAAAGCAAATTAGAGGCCACCGTCTCTGCTTTTCCTTTTAGGGGGAGGGTGGAGTGAAAAACCCCTCTACTGTTTGGTTACTAGATTAAAATGTGTAGATACAGCGACAAGTAAATAATGACATTTGTAACCATTAAATACAATTAGGAATTTATAGTCGAACACATCAAAGTTATCTAGGCTTTCAACTGTTCGGCAGTGCATCTACACCAAATACAGTTTTGAACGTTCAGTGTGGTCTGATGAATACACACAATGCTAAAGAAACAGAAAAAAAACCCAGAAGAAAAGCGGGGCCCGGGGTGCGGGGGGTTGGGTTGCGGTGGGCAATGTGGGGAAATGTACAGGAACTACAGTGCATCCCTCTTGCCGGGTAAGTAACGTCCAAGCCTGCTCTGAGCATCTCGGTTTCCGGAGCGATGGCCGCGACTCTGCGGATGTTCGAGGCCCAACGAGGGCACTGGGGACGAGTTGTACGTCCCGAGCAAATGGACGTCTGTCCCCAGAGGGAAAGATGGTCCCCAAGCCCTCGCCTCAGTGTGGGGACTTAGCGCGAGAACGCCCAAGCTAAGTAAATCAGGAAAAGCCACGGCTAGGGAGCCGAGCGCCGCCGGCGGCTGCCGAGAGGAGCGAGCTGAGCCAGATTCTGGGGGCTTTCCTGCTCAGGAGTAATCTGGTCAAAGTTTCTTTTCTGTTGGAAAGCAAACCTGGCCTGGCGTAGACCTGTAGATCGCTGAGGGGCGCCTCCCGAGCTGCGGCTCATCCTGGCTCTCAGGTGGCTTTGCTAAAGAAGTTGCCTAACATTTCCTGGGAAGGGAGGTAATAAAAGCCCCCTCGCTGGTGGCAGATTGTTGAGCCGTAGGTGGGAAGGGATCTGGCGGCTAGAGCTCAGAGAAGGTTGTATTTTCCTGATTGGAAAATGGGAACTTCCACGCTGAACAATAGCCCCTATTAGTGAGGTTATTCGGTTTCAAACTGTCCGGCCACATTTACAGCCGAGTCCATACTTTTTCCTGGTTCTGCTTAATTGGGTGTGTTTGCTGACCACAGCGAAGCAGCTCTGACTGGATCTACTTGCCTAGTCGCTCCGTGGGGATGCAGAGCACTGTTTGGGTGACTCCTTTGGGGAATAAAAAAGAAAAAAAAAAGGAGTGGGGAACAGAATATTTCTTTATAGATTTTTTAACTCTTTTTTCTTCCGTTTCTCCTTAATATTTACTTTTATTTCCTTCCCTGCCACTTCAGAACATCAAAAAGTTAGAGACAGTTTAAGAGATTTACACCCTCTAACCTAAAATAGTATAAGCTTTGATTTTTTTTTAGCTGAAGTATCCA